CTTCAGAAATAGACCGATGAACGGGATTGGAATAAACAGAGGATGACACTAACGATCATTCAGAGGCTATCTTGAATAAAAGAAAATAAAACTATAAAAACTTTTCACCAAAAATCGATAAAAATATCCGACTACAAACAAAACGATTGAAAGAGATAAAAACAACATGACGCAATAACGTAAGTAATACGGCGCGGCGAACGGGCTTCTTGAGTAGTGTAGAAGTTTTTTGATTCTATTATACTTAATCGATATAATGTCGTCTTAGTATAGAAGCTGTAAAACAATCAAATATCATACATATCTGCATTCGGCAACAAATATTGTGACTTACTCTTCGCCTCCCCTAGTTTACATCAAACTATTACGTCTACGTCAACCCCTTAACCCTTACTAAGTAAACATTGTTAAGTAGGTCAATATTCCCATCATAGTGTGATCTCATACTATGATGGTACAAAAGACACAAAATATTAACACAACTATGAAATACTTAGTGGTTTTCAACTACGCGTGGTTACTATGAATTGTACAACACATGACAAGCTTGCTTGGGGCAGCTGCAGCGAAGCTTGGACAATGGATTCTTTAGAAAGTAATGATTCAAAAAGTGGCTATAACTAAAATTGCAGAAAACAAAATAGAAGATTATTCAAACCCCCTTAATTCCTTGAAAACTTTTTGTTTTAGAAAGTAAAAAGCAATTGAATTCGAAATTGTGCTTTTTATTCTGTAAAGTAGAAATGGATAATATTAGGTCCTTACATATAAAATCGGCGTTTTGTACGGGTGGAATATAGTCATATTTTTTTTGTCAAATATTTTTATTTAATCAAAGAATGCACCGTTGTTATCTATGCACTTTTGCCATCTCATAGGTAGTTTATTGATCCCTTTACTAAAAAAACGATTGAGGCGAGAATCAATAAACTCTTTGAAGGCGGTTTGGACTGCCGCATCGGGGTTGAATTTTATTCCTTGTAAGAAGTTGTCCAAATTCCGGAAAAAATGGTAATCTGTTGAATCAAGGTCCGGGGAGTACGGTGGATGTCGTAGACATTCCAATTGTAGCTCATCTTACTTAGTGTTTGTTTGTTGTGCAGTATGTGGTCTTGCGTTGTCGTGCAGTAGTGGCCTAGAGCGATTGACCAATCTCGGTTGTTAAGCAGCTAGTTCTTCCTTCATGGCTTGCAGTTGCTGATAATAAATATCTGCCGTAATCGTTTGACCAGATTTTAGAAAGCTGTAGTGAACGACATCGGCGCTAGTCCACCCAACACTCACAAGTCACTTTTTCTGAGTCAATTTTCGTTTAGGGCAGGATTTGGGTGGGTCGCCAGGGTTCAGCCATTGCGACGAGCGCTTCCGATTATCGTACAGTATCCACTTTTCTCCACAAGTAATGATTCGATTTAAAATTATTGTGTCGGTTGAGCAAAGTAAACAGCAGATGATTCACTCAATTCATGAGGTACCCACCGTTCAAGTTTTTTTTCTTTCCCGATTTGCTTCAGGTGGATTAATACAGTTTTATCACTTACCCCGAAGCCTGCAGCTATCTCTGAACTGCTTTGTGATGGATCCGCTTCCACAATAGCCTTTAATTCTTCATTTTCCACTTTGGTCTCCGGCCGTCCACGGAATTGGTTCTGAAGGTCGAAATTTCCAGAACGAAAAAGTTGAAACCAAAAACGTATCTTGCTTTCTTTTGCGATACCAGCGCCATACACATCTTTAATCCTTCCAGCTGTTTCTGCAGCACTGGTGTCACAGTAGAACTCGTAGGTACTCGTAAATATACTGATATTTCATGTTTTCCATTGTGCGGTAATAAGCGACACAGAAGAAAAAATAATAAGGAAAAAACAAATAATAACTGTTTTCAAAACTTGAATGTACCAGCTAAATGAATTTATAAATTTGAATTTGGAATTATTAACCAAAGAGGAGATATTTCAGATCAAAGTGGTCAGTACGACAAAACACTAATTTCATATGTAAGAGCCTCATATTATAAACATAAATATTAGCAATTGTATGGGAGCCGGAGCACTACTTATCTGACTACAAGTTTGTTTTTTAGCTTGATTTTCACGATCCTAACTTTTATATAGATCAGCTAAAAAACTTTTCTTAACTAATCTATAAAAATAAAGTTAATACGACGATGTAATAAAAGGAATATTATGAGAATAAACTCGTTTTCGATGAATATGGTGCAAAATTGAATCACCATAAATGAGAGATTGTGAGTATAATATTATATAGACGTTATCATCTCACGTAACCTCTTTATGAAGCGTCTTTCAGGTTCTCCTTTTTGTCACCCAATGCCAAAATCTCTTATCTCAAATCCTTTTCTTATTCTGGCGTTTGGAAGTAGTTTAAGAGGCAGTTAAGTTGTCTGCAACGTGTACGTAAACATAAAATTTACCGTGATTTCTCGGCGTTTAGTAGCTACAATTACCGTAGTAAAATGAACAATACGTCTGTACCTATTTATGGTATATTTAGGAACCGTTTCTGTTACAAAAAGTTAGCGAAGTGTAATATTAAATGGATATGAACGGTGTTAACAACACATTTAATCATTCATTTAGTATAGGTACTGTAGTCTACTGCTGGACATAGGTTTCTCGCAATGTGTGTCAAAGCCCCGGCCCTGGTCCTGTGAATCCAATTTCTTCATGTCTTTTGTCCATCATCCCATCGGTTGCGAGTTTATTATGTTATATCAGTTACTATTTTTTTTTTCATGAACTTATTCGATTGTTATAATATTATTTCAAGGAGGTCCCGAGCATAGCTAATTTAATAGGCCACTATGCGATTTTAGTTTGTGGACCAGTTCCACCATTAGTATCCTCATACACCTCATACAAAGAATGTGTAAAAAGTATTCGATCCTATTAAATTCATTGCAATAAAAAGTAATTGCTTTTTAACTAATAATATTGACATTCCACCATTAAACATTAGTAGTGTAATTAATGGGTTGGCGTGCCTCTGAGCTTTGTTGAAAAACTCTCATTGGTAGAAAAAGAGCACTACCGGTGGCGCTGTGTAACTGGGGTGTAACTACAAAATAAAAATGTAATTAGCTGTGTAAGTTGCAAAAACAGTTGGACGTTTGGCAATTTGCTTGCAAATACTTTTTTAAATTAATCATTAGTAGGTATGTTATGTATAGACATAGATACTGTTTTGTTGTAATCCAATCACAATATTTGTCATCTTAAAATCAAAATACTGAATATCAAAATAAAAAAAACTACCTCCATAGAAACTCGTTTAAATTCTGTCAACGCTTGTTGTGTTAGACTTATTATCTTTCAATCAGTGATACACTGAAATAATAACTTTCTCATTTGCCATTTTTAATTGACTGCAGAGAAGGAACGCTACTAATGTTTCTCTTAGCTTAGAAATGTAGATCTTAAAGTAGAGCAATATAAAATTAAAAAACCGATCAGTACGAGTCGAACTCGTGCGCCGAGGGTTCCGTACCTACCCAGATTTTACGTAGATTTTTGCGAAAAAAAATTTTCAACTTTTTTTATTTTTTGGAATTTTTCCTTTATTTGTGCTGTAAGACGTTTCTTTTTGCCAAATTTCGTGATTCTAGGTCAACAGGAACTACCATATAGGTTTTCGACCCATACCTATAGGGTACTGCCGGTTGACCTAGAATTGTCAATTTTGGTTAAAAGCAAAGTCTTAGGTACAGCACAAGTAAAGAAAAAAATCCTAAAATAAAAAAAGTTGAATATTAAGAAAAAATTTGGTACTTGCAAGTTTTCGCGAAAATCGAAATTTACCCAATCTTTTTATCGTGTTGACTCAGGACCTTGATTTTTATACACATAATAGGGACCATAGACCTCAGTATCTGGCATAAATTTCAACTTGCTAGGTCTACCCTTAAAAATCGGTGGTGACACACGGACAGACGGACAAGAAAGTGATCTTATAAGGGTTCCTTTTTTACCTTTTGAGTTACGGAACCCAAAAAAACATTCAACCTATGTTTGAAGTGGCATTTTTTACGCTATAAAACTTGATTGTACTTTGTTAAAGAGCAATTTTAAGTCTATTTTAAAAACATTTGACAGCAAATTCAAAAACATCCCAAAATAATGCTAATAATGCTATGCATCTTTGCAGGTGTGCATTCTGTTTTAAAGTATTTTGTTCCTATATTCTATAAGAAAAAAGGAATTGAATAAGGAATGGAATAAGGAATTGAATAAGGAATTGAATAAGGAATTGAATTATAAAATCTACAACAAAGTTTCTCATAAGAATAGTGAAGGATTGTTTATTGGGAGAAGGACATCTCACTCTCTGCTAATTTGTAGTTGTATACATGTATACAGACACATCTTATCTCGATTTCCAGAAATGTCAAGCGTAACTTCAGTTTCTATATAAATTATGATTTGTATAGTAGCCAATCTAAATTGTCAATGTATAAACAACACGTAGATGTTAAACCTTTAGTAAATATTGTGAATGACATTGATATTCCCCTAAGTTCTTTACTATTTTTACTGATCAATAAGTCCTAAATATACCAAGCTTTACGACTCATATACCTATTACCACTGTGAGCGAGCCCACCTATGTACTTATATAAACTTGGTATAACACAAAAGAGCACCAAATATTTTAACGAAGGTTTAGTCTCATGGGGTTCCCTTTTTTTATTAACACATTTTTTAGATCTTCGACATTGGAAACCTCGCCTTGTAATTCAACAGCATTATTATATGTTTCTATATACAATTCACATAGGTATATTCTGAAAAGACGTAAGAATTCTTTTTTTAATTCTCGAAAGGAATTTCGCTCCTAAATAAAAAATATGCCCGCCAAGTTATTCGCTAGTAACTTTTTATGAAAGTGTTGGTAGGTAATCTCGGTATGAATTGAATCACAATATTAAATATGCAAGGCTGATCTGGTTTTTCCGTTTAGAAAAAAATTCACATGCAGGTACGATGACCTGGATCGTCAGAGGTGGCCAACAATTAGAATTAGAGGAGTGCGGGCGGGCGGGCGCTGGGCGGGCGGCGGCGCGCGGCGCGTCAGTCGGCGTCCGCGTCCCGCGCCTCGACGTCGCTGCCGCGCTGCGCGCTGCTGCTGTCGAGCTCATGAGTGGCGGGTATTATGCCGGCACCGCAGCGACGCTCCCCACGTGCCGCGAGCTCGCCGGCCGCCGCCGCCACCGCGCCGCGCCGCCTCCTCAACACCACCGTCTATAGCTCCAACACCATAACGCACGCTATTACACGTCTCACGTCTACCGGAATGTAAATATTTATGGATGTCAGTTTTGAGTTGTTTAGATTGGCTGTGAGTTTTAAGGTACGTAACTAATGCCTGTTTGTTTCAAGTTTTGCACGACATTCTTTTATAGCTAAACGATTGTACCAATTGATTCGTCTAAAAGGAACGATTAATAATTAAATAAATAGCATGTATGTTCGTTATTGTGCTTTATGCCTTTGTACATAATTGCTGACGATGACTTCGATTATAATGGCGTTCGGAGTATCCTTCTCTACTTGGATCGATAGTTTACTATTAAACGTAGTCAAACAGATATTTCGCATTACATTACGCGATTAAAATATCGTGGTGGTAAGCTACAGTGCGCCGCCGCGAATATGCCAAATTGATAGTCTTAACAATTGAAATGTTACTAGGTCTATTAAATAAAATTACTTGATAGCAGACAATCTTACAAACTGGTTTCTTCTCTCCACATCCATTGTCCTCACGGGTGTTCTATTCAAGTTATGACTTGTTTAAAAAAGTATATATAACTGAATGCCGGGCAAAATCTGCTTATTTTTGTGAATGTTATGCATTTGGTGTAAGTCTGTTAGTCACATACTAACTGATGAATGAAAAACACAGGCATTTATCGCTAGGTACACAATACAAGCATAGCTTCTATAGCCTGCTTCATGCACACGACTCTCACATACTATCAAACAACCCTTGTTGTCATTACTACAGAAACATCCATACATACCTAGTACTAGATATAGAAAATACATCTACAAATTTTATACACCTATTAAGTTACTATACTTTACCATATACTACTATACTTTACTATAATTAACACTAATAATTAAAAAAATAACATTATTTATTGGCATAAAATGTTTAGGTGAAAATGAAATCGGCAAGGCGTGTTCGGGTACATGAAGATGCTATACGCCATAGGTAATATATATACATCATTTTATTTATTTTTATGATTGTAGACCTTGCGTAGGCAAGATAATCCTACTTTTAACCTATTTATTTTGAACGTCCGTTATTTTGCCCTTAGTGGATTGATGTGAACTTTTGAAAAAAAGTCTTCTTTCCTAACAATTACCTAGTTTTTATTTGCTATGATTTGTAGTTAGTTTAAGGCCGTATACTGATTAGCAATTTGACTGTACATACCTGTTTCTAAGACTAGACTCGCGAAATATTAGGTAGATGAGGTCTAGATTATTAATATTATATTTGATATCACAATACAGTTTGTCAATAATGTACTGTCATGAAGTAACTGACTTAAATAAGTCTGTACATACCTAAAATAACACTTAACTTATTCACTTTACTTACACTTTTATTTACATTTTTTTTTAAATTTACCTAATTTTAAACATAGCCAGTACCTAAAATAGATAATCTTATAGATTATTTATTTTGCAACTAACAGTAGTGGTTGTAATATTTAAACAAATTCATAAAAATAAATTGATACAGAACCATTTGGAATCCTCTATTCTCTTATTGCGTAATTTTATTACATGATTCATGTCGTCATAGATTGCAGCTCTTCACTTTCTTTAATAATAATAAAACGGTAAATTTAAAAAAAACGGCCTCAACTTGCTGACTACGTTACCACAACTTTTTAAAATGGTTGCTTTTTCTCAAAAAAAAAACCAAACTTGAGCCTCTACTGCAAACTGCAATTATACTGCTACTACAGATTCAGAATATCCGAGTTTCAGTGTATTGTAATCTTTAGAAGCATTCTATTTAATGAAATTATAAATAACCTTATTTGTAAATCTAATTGTGTAACGGTATAAAATGGACTGTGAACACTGAGTACTAAAGTGAGTTTCTAAATGTGAAGTCATTTCAAATATAATCAAAGTTAAGCAGTATACTCTTAAACACTGAAATATTTAGGAAAGTTCAAAGGTTAATGACGAAGAACATGGTAAAGATTAGTTTTACATAATTATCTTCATAAATTGAGTTCATTTGCATGTTTTAGATAGATTAACATGTTTTTTGGTACGTTTTTCGTTTTTTTCTGGGCAGATTATTTATCATAGATAATTGTTGCCCTTTGATATTATTTTATATTTCTTTGTCTTTATCGAAATTAAACTACAACGTATTGCGGAACTTTGTTCTATGGCCACGCCAGTAGATAGGACTTGAAGAATAGTTTTATTGAAGTTTTGTTAAATAAAATAATACTTTTAATTCTTTTATAATCAATTCTGTATTACTTTAATATTTGTATTGGTGGTTAAAATCGTTGTATCGAGTAATAACAAGACAGCATCTACACATACTGTATATATAAATTAATGTTACATAATTATGATTCAATACTGGAACTATTCTTATTAAACTACTATTGTATACTACTACTATACTCCAATTGTAACATTTCCTTAATAGGAATAAACAACAAAATTCTACTTACAACAGTTTTACTTAATCTGTCTCTGTAAACAAAACTAAGCCAGTGTCTAACTACCACAAAAATACATAGTAAAGATAATTATGTAATACAATGTATTTTTCAAAACACTAAGTGGTACTTAATTGCATTACACTAGCCGTTTCCTGCATTTTTGACTGCATTTATAGTCACTGCGCCGATTCTAATGGTTGTGGCGTGATGTTTTATATATAAATCCTCAATAATTACTCTACTACTACTCTAATACAAAAACAATCATCAAAACGTGTCTGACTCTTTTAAACAAACAAAAAACTGCAAGTCTTTACCTTAATTACATTAGGATAGTACAGATAAGAAAAAACGAATAAAGCTATTATTATTTCCATAAATATGTATAGTCTCTAAATAACCCTTGTGGACTTAGTGTCAGTGTAGTAACGTGTATGTGTAAATAATGATGAGGGACGTTACTATAATTTTAAATTTTATTGCTTAACTGGGGCTCATATACGTTTACATGCTATGTGGATCACGAAGCACATAATGGCAGCAACGCAAAGATAAATGCTCTATAAACTTGGTCTATTTATCATTCTTGTGTTAAAATAATTAATAATAATAATTCTATAACCATATGCTAAAACAATTTACAGTTTATCGTAGATATTTAATGTTTCAACGTCGTATAAAAATCATGAAATACTATGTTCATTCAAGTTTGTATTATCCAACAACGCGTTTACAATTTACATTTCCATCAAAGAGTGACACATGCGGCTTAAAATACCTGCACGAATAAAAAAATAACGATCCTCACTATTTGCGGCAAGTATAGAGATTACCTGACGTAAAAAGTGAAACTAGTGGCTTATAATACCTACACGCGTCAAAAAATAACGATGCTTATTAATTTGCGGTAGGGATTCTCTGTCGTAGTATCTCATTTCCTGTCTCATTATAAATATAATTATAATATGATTTTACCCATATAAAGGCCAAACAAAGGTACCTTATTACCTACCGTAATTATAGCCATTGTTCAATAGCCAATTAGTAATATTTAAACCTCCGTGTCGCCTGATTTATTTACGGGTCACGGGTATAATCCGGCAATTTACCTTGTATCGCTTCACGTAGCTAAACTACTGCAAAAGCCATAGTCTCAAACAGAACGTGATTAACTATAAAAAACTTTCAAAAGATTTTAGCGTTTTGGGACCAAGCATGTATTATAAATACAGACAAATGGTGGAATCAGAGTATAGTACAGTGAAGAGTTCCGTAATGAAAAGGAACATTCACAGTTTAACAAGTTCAATAAAATTATATGGAATTCAATAATACTTAAGACTCATTTCATGCTACTTAAAAAAAAACGATCTCTAAAAAATAGTCTCATTTCTACAAAAAATACGTTATAATATTACTGTCAATTTAATTATTTTATATTCCAAGATAAGATTTGATCTCGGTTCATCCAAAAAGATTAATCTTGATCTCATATCGTAATAAAGAAGGAGAAAATTAGTAGTTCCATAATTTCCAGTATTTTAATCACATTTTGATAATATCTCAAATCCACACGGCTGTACTCTTTTCTATACATTATTATAGTTGAGTCATTCGACGTACAATATAAATATCTAAATTTTGAAAGTCGATTAAACCATAACGTTAGGTATTTCCGTCTGGTCGTTTGCTACCAATGAATGGATTTTCGTCTCATTTGCTCAAAATAATCAATATGCTTGTCTAAATAAAATACATGTCAATTTCTTAAACATAACTTAGAACATCAGTAGTCAATCAGTTTCTTTAAGAATTATTTCTTCTAGAGGTATTTACAATTATTTGAATACTTACTCATATACTTCACTAGCACCTTCTGCAGGTATATTTGACATTTTAAACAACGTCGTCGGGATCGTACCCGAAACCGTTATTTACCACTTTGATATCTCTATTTTACAAAACTTATAGTTTACAGTAGTTTATTTAAATGTGTGCTTATTTATTAGTTATCCACTATACCGCGTTGATTTGGCTGTAACTGAAAACATGAAATATTATAAATACATCTTTGTTTCGACAGTTCGACGAATAAAATCGAAACGATCCTCGCTTGATTCGAAAACCATGAAAGTGTAATACACACTAGTATAGTGTTAGGTTACTATATTCGCTTCGGGGAATCCTTTAAACAAGTGTAGCAGTCATGTAGGAAACTGTTCAACTGCAAATTGTACTCGCCTACTTGTTCGACGGAAAATTGCTCGTTCAGTTAAAAGTTTCGCAAGCAATCGATTCTTGAATAAACTTGTACTTCATTTATATGTACACATTTAACATATGTTAATTGTAGCTAAATATATTTCTTATCTCTTTTTACTAACATTCATCAATTTCCAATATCCTAGGTTTGCTTAATATATGTATAATACAATTTGTTTTTAACCTTTTAAGAAGTGTCTCTAAAAAGTATTTTTCACTTAGTGTATATACATACGTATTACTATTACTTAGTGTATTACTTAACACTTTAGTAGAGTGGTCAGCCTAGACGTAACATGCGAGGATCTTGCGACGGCTATTGGCATGAGAAACCCCTCACTGGTCACCACGGTTTTCTCCAAGATCCAAAGTAAGACTGTAAGATAGCGACATCTTTATTTTATGAGGAAGCAATGTCCGCTACAGATGCCGGAAGGGGCAGTATTCTCCCGTTCCTAAAAAATGTGCTTTCCGAAATTCTGTGCAAAATAATATTATAATTGAAGAGTTCGCCCGATTTCTCCAGGATCCCATCACTAGATTTCTGACCCGATGACAATGGCAACAACTAGGAAGTCTAACCCTTCAAACAAGAAAGAATTTTCCAAATCAGGCCACATACATAAAAAAGGATATGGGCGAACTGATCGTTCCTTTGTTTTAGAAGTCGGTTAAGAAATATCACCGATCGTAAAAAGCTTTCCTTATTATAATATAATGAGGTAAGCTTTTTACCATCCATTTTTCGATTATCTGAATGACTTAAGACAACAATTAATCCGGGGCACATCAAGTCTCCGCTGTAACTATTAATTCATTTTTATAGTTTAGCACGTTGGATGAAAATAAAGATTACCTATGGGTTACGGTCGGGGCCCGTTGACTAACGACAAAAATTACTTAAATATTTGCCTTTAAAACTTATTATTCCTTAGTAATAATATATTACAATATTAAGAGTGAAGTGTCAGTATGAGGAACCAGGTTTAAATTGAACCATTTGAATTAGATTTCAATATTATATTTTAGTATCCGATTTTTAAGCTGTGTAACGAAAGGTTGCCTCATCGTCGCTCTATGACCACGATCATTACCATGATTTTCTACTAGTCCACTGTTGAACAAAGGATTTTAAGATTAGTTTAAGTATGCGTAATTCTAATTTTTATTGAAACTCACAGAATAACTAGTTTCTAAAAGAATATGTGATAAAAATAAGGTATCTATTGTCTGCAAAAAAAAT